AATCGATCCTTTATTAAAATCATGTGATATCTATCTAACAGAGAGTTATGTAAAGATCTGTTCAAGAATTGGCGAGACCTTGATGATTTACTTTTCTCCGTCGAGAGAGTCTCTGGAGGCATCACAAATCTTTGTGAGTTTCATTATATATTCATGTTTCACTGAATGCAGCACGTTGTTTCACTGAGTTTCTACTTTGATTCCAATTGTTTCATGGTGACAGTATTGAAGGTTTCTGTCAAGGAAGACACTGAAAGAGAAGTGTCTGTAACAGTTCGATTGTATGGGCCTAACACGGAGTATGTTATTAACCGCGAGAGAGAGCTACAGGTAATTTAGTTGTATACTCTCACTCATTCAATATATATGACAAGTCCCTAACCTTTGTGTGCACTGAGTCTTTGTTCATATTTTTGATGTCTTAGTCTGCATTACTAAGAGTTTATCTGTTATTTTTACCAAGAGTTTCTCTGTTATTTGAATTATTTGTCTTCTAGTGATGTCAACTCGAAGCATGAGCTTTATTGCGGAACATATGGCAGAGTTTTTGCTCGATTTTTCTTAAAATATCAGAGGTTTTCTCTGCCAGTGTTTCCTATTATTTGTTTGCATCACTTGAAGTTTTATCTTCTCTTTTTTCGTTATTTGCTTCTCACGTCTTCAATAGGCTATCAAGTATCTCTCGGCTGCCGGATTTGGTGCCAAGCTGCTTGGTGGATTTGGAAATGGCATGGTGCAATCATTCATCAATGCACGAACCTTAGACCCATCAGGTAGGCATTTAAAATTCTTGCAGGGAACTATAGAGAATTTCTCTAGGAAAGTAAATTGTTTTGTTTTTTTTTTCAGTGATAACCTTTAATACTTTGTGCGGTTTATGTGGGTTGTGTTTCTATAGTATAAAATTAAACTGAAAGATGTTGTTATTAAGATTTTGCAATGCTTCCTCTTGGTGGAACATCTCTATTAAATGTGGACCTTCCAGTCTTCTGTTTCATCTGCTTAGAGTAAATGCTAGTGGAGAAGCTGCTCAGTAGTATTGAGTTTCATGGACCTCAAATGAATCTCACTTTCTCTTTTGTTATGGGTAGACATGAGACAACCAAAAATTGCTGCTCAAATTGCCAAAGAGCTTGGAAAGTTTCATCAAGTTGACATACCAGGTTCCAAAGAGCCGCAGCTGTGGGTTGATATTTTGAAGTTCTTTGAAAGAGGTG